ACAGGTGCAAAGAGCGGTTTTGGCAAGAATTGATAAGAAAATATTAGCTCCCACGTAATAAAAACCATTTACAAAGGCAAATCACCAAAATTTGGAGATTGAACCTCATCGTGCTCTTCGTGAAGAAATAGATTTGCTGCCGAAAGAGCATGGAGAACGTTTATTTGAAGAACTACATTCCCCACAATGTGCACAGAGAGTGAAGTTACATTATATTCAGAATTATATCAAGGCCAGCTTGGGTTGGGGCTCATTGCTCCTTATGCTGAGAAACAATATTTGTTTCAGGCATATTTAGTATTTTGAAAGAATACAGTTCAAATAGTAACTGGTACATTAAATACCATTATTAAAATCAATATTAGCTTCTTGATGTTCGGTATTGTCTCTAAATGTGAAGAAACATTTATGCAGCAGAAAAGATTTTACTGGGCATTGAAATTGTGTATCGTGTTTTCCTTTAATGTCATCTGTCATGTGTTGTAAAATAATATCCACTTACCTATTTTATGTGTATTTTTTTGGAGTAAACTGTTCACAATGACACCAGCTGAATATCATTACTACGTCTAGTTTATAGTAATAGACATTTATATTCTTTGAAAATGTATTCCCATCCTTGAGTAAGTCACTTTTGGCCAAAACTACTGATTCGTAAATCAAGAGTGAAGGCAATGGCAGAATTCATAGCTTAATAAAGAGATGCTTACAAGGTTCACGTAGTTTGGATATGCTTATTATTCATAAGAATTCTCTTCAGTAATCTAAAAATCTGGAAGCTTTTGAAAGTGTTTCCGCAGCATATAATGTCATATCTCAAGCGGGAATGAATACTCTTGCGGAAATAACTAAATATGCCCGAGCTGTACGAAGGCTGACTGAATTTGAAATAATTCTGAATGCGTACCTTAATGATCTTAATTTCGTGATAAATTCATTTTAATGGGCATTCCATTTGAGGTTTGACTGAAATGAGAAACACGAAAATTTGAAAATATTAAAATTGAAAAAAGGACGGATTGAGGAAATGAGAGGAATGAATTGAAACGGGAATTTATTTAAAATTATGTTTTGATTGACCAAATGAGTAAACGTAGAGTAGTGGAGTTATTAGCTGATCAGTAATTAATGAAAAATAAATGTTCGAGGAGTGTTTAGCTGACGTTTTTCAGGAAATTTCTTCAATTCAGAAATTACGTGTCTACTTTAAGCAAGAACAGGTCTATGGTTATTAAAGATTATGAGAAAAATGAAAATCACCAAGGAAATTAAAACCTTTATAATTAAAGTATGAACCATCTGAATTCAATGAATACGTTTTCCTGATAGTTGTTCTGTTGTTCTACCAAAAATATTATACAACGTTGTCCATGCATTTTAGTGAACATTCAAAGAATTAGGCATCTATCACACTAAAAACAGTACTTAAAATAGAACTGTCTTATGATTGTTTTATCAGGTATAAAATATTATAATGTGTTTTTGTTTCAGTTACAACCTCCCGTAATAATAATTCCTTGACTTCCCAGACAATTCTTATGTATGAGAAAGGATGAAAGAGATTTTTAAATTTTAAGAGAACTGAGATTTTTTTTATTTGCGAACATGGAAACTTCATGTTTTCAAAATTAAACAATATAATACAAACGAGGGAGGGTAAAATGAATGAAATTAATTAAAATAAAATATAATTTTAAATAACTCAACTCACATGACATTCAGCAACATTTCAGGATTGTTCTGGCTGATGATAGGCTCCAAATTGGTGATAATCCATTTCAGATTACAGTCGCACTGCCACAAGTTATCTCGAAGATCTACTTCCACAAGATTGTCAATGCTAGGTAGAAATATGGGATGCAGAGTCCTCAAACTATTTCCTCGTAAAATAAGCTAAAAAAGAAAAAAATAGTGTGCAAAGAAGAATAAACTCAGAGTGTATATAATTTATTAGTTTTGAAAAGAGCCCTAAGTGGCGTTGAGAGAGACAGGTTTATGTCCTTTATTTGTAAACTTAATTTTGACTTGTTGGTCGAGGCTTGTATTTCGGTGAAGCCTGTATACAAAAAATAAGAGGCTGAATATACTGCCCAGAGAAGAATGCTTTGTAAATCTGTTTACGAGTTTAAAAAAATCGGACATCAACATAATTTTAAAGACCCCAGAACGTACAAGCTCTAAGCAAATATAGAGTATAGCACGATAGATATATCGTTAAAAAATGGAAAACGGAATGTTGACAAATTATAACCCCAAATAAATAACATTTCATCCCAGCGTATAATATATCATTTCTCATTTTTATTTTATTTCCTTTCAATTACAACGTAACTTAATGACATGGAGTAATTGGCATTTCCATATATTTACAATTGTCCCCAAGAAGTTCTCTTATTTGTGAATGCTTAATGTTGATAATGATGAGATGTGAGAGCTGAATCATTTGCTAAGGGCATATTTATTACTTGAAACAGTACAACTTTTCTCGGCTAGTGATAAAAGAAAATGAAGAAGTAGGAGTTATAGACAAGTAAGGAGGAGTTATAGAAAACAAAGAAGAGGAAGAAAAATGAGTTACAGAGAAGAAAGAAGCAAAAGTAAGCAGAAGAATAGCAACGAGCCCCAGAATAACAAGGCAATATCTGACGCGGGAAAAAATTTACAACATAGCACTTTAAAAGTTGAAAAGTGCTTAATAATGCTAGCAGAAATGTTATACCATTTTGTTCATTGAAGGTATCCCACAAGACTGATTTGGAAACTGTTTAAATGTTTATAGAACTTTCCGTGGAGATATCAAACACGTCAAAACGCTTTCGCCAAACACCTCCTTCTCATTCCGAAGCCGCGAAATACACTATGCGCTTGGCCTGGCAACCTTCGTTGAGCATAGCTACCTTCTCCAGCGCCGGAAACTTGGAGGGGGAGGATATGTCCCCGATGAAGGCATGAGGCTCGATTTCGGCCAGCGAGGGGCTGTCGGCCAGCACCAGCGATCGGAGTCCCGTGAGCGTCTCCAGGCTTCGGCCGCCCACGCGCACCAGTTTCCCCATGTCCTCCAGCACCAGCGACTGCAGCGTCGCCAGCGACTCCGGGAACGACCTGACGCCGACACGCCGCCGCTCAGACCAAACCGGGAGAGGTGGCGCAGTGCGTCGGCTGACGTCACTGCAGTGCCTCTGACCGGGAGGTCCCAGGTACGAGTCCCGACGGTGACAGGATTTTCCACACTAGCTGGATATCTAGGTCGAGTCCTGGCGCTGTCTGGTGGAGAATTCTACAGGCCGGCTGCTCTGATCGGTAGTTTGACGTGGTTTCTCTGATGAACACCAGGCGAATGCCGAAGCAGAATCCTAACATACATGCCACTGACCGCGCGCAATCTTTCCTTTCTCTTCCTTGTTCTATTCTCGTCTCTTACACACACTAACATGCACTACTCTACCACACATGCCGGATGACCGCTCTGGAGATTTTGAGCTGGTCCCGGCTGGGGCAGTGCCCCGCAGGTGGGAGATACCTTGTTGGTGGAAAACCTCCATCATTGATACCAAAATGTAAAAACCCCAATTCCGTCACATATGAGGTTGTCCATCATCAACAGCAATATACTGTAATTATTCTTATTTCCGTATTTCTCGCGAGTGCATTTCCACGCGCATTTGATGCTTCATACAAACATTTTATTCATGGCCATTACTTCTGTGTTATCTCTCAGGGCAGGAAACAACTTGCCTTTCCAAAAAGGATGGCGGATCACAACGATGACCCAGGACATGTGCGGCTTGTGCGTCTAATTCTCAGAAAATTACTAGTGATTCCGGACGCGTCAGCTGCTAAGTCATTAGTCGCGTAAGTGTATAGCATGTGTTTTGCTCGTGTGGCGGCGGTGATCTTGCCCGGCTGGATGGCAAGATACGGATCCGACCTACATCCAGGTAAGTAGGGATTTCCCAAGCAGGTGTCTACCACGAGCAGAGCACCGCCTCAGCTCTCGTACAAGTTAGACAAGCTCCCGCCGGTCTCCCGGCACCTATAGTAATGCAGTGCTTGTAAGTGTGAGTGTAATTAAGGGTCAGGACAGGATAAGGAATGGGAAGGAAAGTGTCCCTTGTCCCCTTTGGTAAAGTACTTCTCCAGTATTCGCCTGGCATTGATTGGAGAAAAAACGGAAAACTACCGATCAGACCAACCGGCCGCTCGAGTTCTTCTCCAGTCGGGTCAGAACTTGACCTAGCTCTCTGGCTAGTGTCGACAATCCTGCCACCGTTGGGACTCGAACCACATGACCTGCTAGTCATAGGCACTGCAGTGGCATTAGTTGATGCCCTGAGCCACCTCTTCCAGTCAGTTCTCAGAAAACCATCAGCGGGCGCTGCAAACGGCCGCGTCTAGTCTCAGCCAATCAGCCGTGACTACCAGATCGAATGTTCTGGAATCTTTCGAATCCGTTAGTTAGATTTCACAATCAGTGCCCACTTCTTAACTTGCCTCATGCATTTGCGCCACAGCAAAAATTAGTTAAATTAAGACTCGAAGAATTATCTGTGGCACGTGGACGTGTTCTTTTTGTCACGTACAGTTTAATTGCATTTCTGCACATAAAAGTCCTATTTTAAGCAGTTCTGGCATTACCAGTACTGTGCATGTCAGTTTAAAGTGTATTTTTCTATGTGATCGACATGTACACGAATTGTAATTAATCTTGCTTTTAAGGCATTAAGTGAAAATCACTGCTGCGTGCCAACTGCAGCGTTCGCTGAAGAAAATAGTGACTGGTACTTAGACATAACTTGTTCGTACGTGCTTGTGAATGTAATGACGACTTGCTAAAAGCCCCCCTCCTCTGCGCTGACAAACTCTACCAGCCGACCAGTCTACAGAGTACCCCAAGTGACTTATTGCACTTCAAGTGACATAATTTATGAAAACTACTTGTGTGTCTCTTTTACAGAAGTTGGTGCATTTGATGTGAATAAACTTATCGTTGAAATAAATAAAGGCATAAGTTCCAAAAAGGGACCAATTGAATTAATATTAGAAATGTGAAATATATGATATATATTATTTATTTATTTATTTATTTATTTATTTATTTATTTATTTATTTATTTATTTATTTATTGACAGCCTCACAAATAAAATGTTTTGTTTTAAGCTGCTGAACTATCCACTTGCATGTTTAAATAATCTTTCCATCTCTTTCTATTTTCATACATTGGTTTTACCTGTTGTTTGATGAAGCTCGCATCCGTTGTCATGCGTTCTTTCTCCTACGCAGACCGTCACATCTTCTCTTCTTTGACTTGCGCTCTGCCAAGTTTTCTTCTTTTATTCGATGACACAACACAATAAAAAATAAATAAATAAATAAATAAATAAATAATAAAATAAATAAATAAATAAATAAAATAAATAAATAAATAAATAAATAAATAATAAAAATAAATAAAATAAATAAATAAATAAAATAAAAAAATAAATAAATAAATAAATAAATAAATAAATAAATAAATAAATAATAAATAAATAAATAAATAAATAAATAAATAAATT